TCTCCGTGTTGTCAATTTGGAGTTGTTTTTAAAGCTGCTACATGAAATTCAAGAGATGTCCAATTTCTCAAGGATCTCCCTTGTTAGCTTCACCAGAACACTCCAGTCTGTATTTTAATTATTCAGAGAATAACATATGTGTAGGTCATTGTTATCCAAATAGGAAGTATTGCTTTTGTGAATATTGTTTTCTTGGCTACAAAAGGAAGACATGCTAATCACAGGGGAAAAATGATTCAGATGTAGAGAAACCAATAAAGAAGACCATTAAGAATATGGTTAAGAAAAATGTTGATCCACTTCCTGTGACCTGAAGTAGTCGCTCTGAACACTCCAGTACTGGTACTGCTATACTTTACCAGACACTTGAGTGTTTCATTTTACACAAATGAGAAAAAATCATACAGGTCATTTTGAAGCCTCATCTGTTTAAATGTAAGTTCACTTTGCTGTTACTCTGAAAGAAGTGTGTGCTTGGGGTAAAACCACTCCTTTTGCTGTGTGAAATGCAGAAGACTCAGGCCCGCTTTATCTTTGTGGCAACTAACTTATGGTGTGCTATTACTTCCTCAAACACTGTCTGTTATTTGAGTGCCACAGAAGCATTTAGAGCACTGGTTGTCAGCCCTCCTAATGCTTCCATCCTTTAATACAGTTTCCTCAAGTTGTGGTGACCCCCAACCATAAGATTATTTGGTTGCTCATTTGTAACTGTAATTTTACTACTGTTTGGAATTAATGTAAATATCTGATATGCAGGATATCTGCTGTGCAACCCCTGTGAAAGGATTGACTGGTTGAGAACCTCTGATTCAGAAGGACAACTTACGGAATAGTGAGGTGGAAAGTTTCTTGAAATCTGTGTCAGGAAGAATGACTCCATCTTGCTTTTCCTAAAGTTATCGTGGTTAAAACATAGCTGGGGGCTTAGTATGACAGGGTTCTCATTTTCTGTCACTTGCTAATAATCAAGTCAAAACTAATCATGGATTAACTTGAATGTGGGTTATCCCCAGTTATTCATGGAACTCTGTCTTATGAAGCAGGAGAGAAAGGCAGGGGAGTTCTGGGCACAGGTGAAGGAAAAGGAGGTCCTTAGAGTCCAGTTGAAGCATCTTAAGAGTAGAGAAGAGATCCAGCACAGTCAACAACCACTTAAGACCCTTCTTCATTCCCAGATGTCAACCTGTAGTTCTTCTAGAAATCTCATCAGAAGCCACGTTTACAAAGAAGCACACCTTGTATCCCTTATGCAACCTCAGTGGCTCCTGAGGGTTTTAACTTTCCAGCTCCTAATTCCATTCAGGCATCTGCAGAGCCGCTCACCTGACTTCCCTCTCTTATCCAAAGAAAATATGGAAACAAATTACAACAATAAAAACAAAATCAAAAACCACCAAAAATGAACCATCTTTTCTTTGAAGTCTTACCAAAACGGAACCTATGAAGCCCAAAGAGAGGTGACTCAGTAGGTAAAGCTGCTTGCCTTTAATGCAGGAAATAATGTTATTTTCACAGTTCTATCAAGAGATACATAGCTATACATAAGCAAGAGCAGAAAATACACCAGGGCTGCCTTGATTAATTTTTTTAAGTGGCATAAAAGGACCGTACTTAATCTTAGATACTATGGTCTTTCTATTAACTTGGTTGTAGACAGGGTGGTGTTGAAATAAAGGGGTTAATCAGAATTGTGTTAAAAAACTAACACAATCCATATTCATTGATTCTCCAGAACTATTCTGTTAGGGATTTCTATTCTGGACCATGCAGAAAGGGAATTAACATTTTAAAAGACTCGTTATTTTACTATCACTTTTAACTACAACCTTTTCATTGTTTTCCTATTATAACTATTTTTTTAAGTAAAGAAAATGATAGCTCACAAGAACGTGCTTTTCTTGGTTACTTTAAATCTACTCATAAGTGACATTTCTCTGGAAACCCCAAAGGAGTGATTTGAGGGGGTGATTCATACTAAAAAACTGACTTATTTCTTATCAACACAGAGATTGCATAGATAGGGCACCTAAACCTCAGAATTCTATGAAATCTGGCAAATATTGGAATGCTTCTTTTTCTTCTAGCATGAAAATATAAATTGCTTCTCTGACATTCACAACTGAAACCTATTCATTTATCATGCGAATGTATGAATATGATACATGTAAATTCAAAGAGACCACTTGGAAAGTTTAAATCTATAGTTAATGGACTCGGGCTCCCTCAACGGTGAAAACATAAGGTTTTTGTTATTGTTTCAGTTGACTTAAGATGCATACCCTAGGTGTAACCAGATCCTTAATTTTACCGTAAATGTAGCAGTTCTCATTCGCAGATGACAGTAGGAGTTTCCCTGAGCTGTGACAATTTCTTTTATGTCAATCTATTTATATCTTTACAAAACTGATGAGACACACATCTCGCTAGCACTCAAACTGGGAAGAACTGAAGAGGCAAGAAATACAACACAGTCCAGCATGGCAGAGAGCTAGAGACACTCCCCTCCTTTTCTTTCTTATTTTATTTATTTAGCCATAAAAGCCCTAGCAAGGCCACCCAGGTTCTAGAATAAAAATGAAGATTCATTGTAGGGCGGCTGAAGGGGCTTTCAGCCTTGTAACAGTCCATATGGTACTGATGGTGTGTCCTTTCACATTTGTATTGATGTCTCGAGATAATCGTCAGAGTGACCTTGGAGATGTGGAGGGAGAGAAAAGCTCTCACGGCCCCTAATTTTCCTTTAGTCTGCCTCTGCTCACCAGAGAACCTTAGCGTTTCAGTACAGGAAGCTTTCAAAAAAAGCAAAAACTCATCAATTACGTGGCCATTATGTGTGCAGGACCTTGGGCATTCTGAAATCCGTCCCTATCTTGAGCAGGCACTTAGGATAGAGTGAAACGATAAACATTCTGCCCAGATCTGTGTTGCTCACTGATAATGACTGAGGGTGGAGGCCAAGGACATTAATAAACATCTCACATTTTCAATATGGCATCATGTGCAAAAGACAAGAGAAAGAAAGGAAGGGAAGCATGAAGCAGGCTCTAAAGGAAAGCAGGGAAAATGTTACTGTGTAGAATTTTATAATAAATAGGACCCCGTTTTAGAGAGAATTGAATTTCTCAGTGAGCCTGTGGATGAATTATGTGGTCCTGCGGGAGATGGAAAAATCAAGAGGAACGGAGTGGACAATTTATTTTGAATAGACTGGGAATTGTATTAACGGCTCAATTAAGTGCCAATGGTTTAGAATTAGCTGAGTCATTGTCTTCCGGGGACAAATAATTTCTAGCTGTTGGAATTCGCTTTATGTCTCACATAAATGTGAGCTAAAACGTGCTTACACTGTTCCAGTTGACAACAGGACAGATCCGGAGCGCTTCCGTTCGAGAGTAGAAAGGAAAACCCATTCATTCACCCTGTTTCCCAGAGCACTGTCGAGGCACGGATTCTCTGGAGTTTCTATTTCTAGGCAGATGGAGATAGGTTTTTCACGGGATGGATTTGGCCCAGTCTGTGCTGGATGTTGCCCATTGTTCTCTGCCCTACTTTCTGTCCCTGCCTTTTGCATGTGTTCCCTGACCCCATCAGGAGGAGGCCACCGGCAATCCTTAGGTAGCAAATGTTTTCCTGAGACTACCAAGAGCAGTCACTTAATAAAAACATGGAGGTCAGCTTTTTAAAAAGCAGACTCGAGTCATTTGCCTCACTGTGTTTAATCTCCCTCCCTGCACCTCCCCTCCCCTTCCGCCTCTGAAGACACTCCCTCACAGCCACCTTTTCCCACAGTGGTCTTGAGTCTGGACACCTGTCACCGCCCATTCCTACGCTTTTGTCCTTTGACTCCAAATCGTCCTTGGCTTACAGCTACATTCCAAACTCCTCCCCGCGTGTGTCGAGATATGTTCCTGCTTGCTAAAAGCCCTCCTCACTGCCTCTCTCCCAGCCCCGAGATACATATTCTGTCACATATTCTCTCCATCCCAATGTTGAGTCCATAAAAGGATGTTGAAACAGGACTCTTCAAAAGTTCCCACTAAGAGAACAATTATCCAGTTCTCTAAAAGTTTTTTTTTTCAGTTTCCCTGGATACTCAAGTGGGTACTGAGACCTCCTCCTTTCTGTCTGTTTGCTGCCCCGCCCCATGTCCCTTGGTGCTAAACAACAAGCAGAGATGGAGGAATTTCCCATTAAAAACTCTCACGTGTGTCCTCTGCGTATCCAGCAGCGGCAGGAGGCAGTTTGAAGCCCCCTGCAGATCTTGATAATAGCTATTCCTTTCTAATTCTAGCTGTTCGTTGCTAAAATAGAAAGCCAGGAACAGAGCAAGGGTGTATCCCCTGGGGAATCTAAACTGTGGCACCTCATAACAAAGTAAAAAGTGTGTTCTCTTGCATGTTGATTTGCAAAATGGGAGGCCTTACCAGGAAGCCCTGCGGTACCATTCTGCCTCTGGTAGCAGGAAGGATCTTGTGGGCTCTTCCAAAGAGAATAGCTAAAAACGTTATGCAAATTTAGACTGCCGTGTCAACTTGTTCTCAAATGAGTCGGGTCAACAACAGCAAACCCGCCGAGAGCATTTTAAAAGTAGCTGAAGACATACAGAAATTCAGTGAATATGCAAAGGGGTAAAGGGCAGAAGATATTTCTATGAATCCTAGCCTATCATTCATAGGGCATGATGCAACCTGAGGCCCCAACTCATTGCTGGAAGAAGGCTTTAGGAAGAGCGCTGTTCCCAAAAAACGTGGAGAGCTCCTATAATAGTTGACCAGTCACACTCAGACAGAAAATCCATGCCCACTTCCCTTTCCTTACAGCTTTCATTCAGAAGTATGATGAGCTCACGTGTAAATGTAATTTAAAAAGAAAAACAAAGCTATTCGTTGTTTTTCAAAAATAGGTAGATGACTCATTGAAGTTTGACTCTTACAAGTTTGTCCTATACTAAAATAGCTTCATTCAAAACTTACCTTCCGGTGTTCTCAACCCCACAGTGTCCAAAACCCCACAGCAATCTCATTCAGTAACCCGGTGAGAAACTGGCCTTCCATTCCAGCACAAAAGCTCCCCCTCCGTCAGTAAGGTAAGGCAAGCTTTGGGTTGGCAGTAGAAGTTGGTGAGTGCCAGCTGTGGGCATGGAGAGCAAAGGAAAGCTAATTTTAAAAGTTGCATTATGAACTCAGAGCTCAGCAATCACTGTACATTCACTTTGGTCACCACCACCCTGAAAGGCATAAAATATCGTTATCTTTTCTCCAGTACCCGACAGATCCGCTCTAGCCCCGGAGATTTTAGCCTGCATCTCCTGTCCTGCTCTCTCACACCCCGCCTTCGTGATTCTTCGTAATGTCAGTGCCCTTGTCGATGGTCCTTCCGGTGCAAGTTTTGCTCTCTCTCCCTTTCTTCTTGCGCATGCAGCTTACATGTCTTTCCATACCATTACTGTAGCCTGCTGGGATCTCACTCTTAGGCAGCCCATTCCTTCCCTGCAACGCCTTACTCCCTGTTACTAATTATCCAACTCATGTAATTCTTCAAACCTACTGGGGTGTGTGCATTGATCCCGCTACCTTTCTGCTCTCACCTTCCCTTCCTTTCTGAAATCAATTAGGGTCTACGGCCCATCATTATAATAAACATCCTTAAAAATCACTGAGTTCTCTTTGCTCCCTTCTCTCGCCTATACTGTCTGCACAGCATGACTCCATCCCAGTGCCCGTCCAAGCCTCCGCACACTGTCCACTAACTTTCTCAGAACTGAACAACACTGCAGAAAGGGACGCGGCTTTGGTGGTCCATTTCCATTCAAGTTAATAACCAAAATTTCAGCCAATCCTGGGTAGTGACCATGAACCTTACTAGCTAGATCTGCTCAGCCCCCCCCTCTCGGCTCCCCATTGTAAAGCTTTTTCGGTACCTGTTCCCAGCACACTCCCCTCTAGCTCGTAGACAAGTTTACGATCTGAGAAAATAGAAGCAAGATAGATCATAGCTGCCCTCAGGCCCCAGACTCTCCTTTCCACTTCCCATTATGAATTTATGTGATTCTCTCTGATGCTGCATGCTCAGAATGCACAGTAGTTCTCAATCCTTTTCACCTCGCCCAAAACTCTCCTCTGCAAATTCTCCCCTCTCCCGGGTCATCGGGCTTTCCTTTGTCATGCTGTTTTTACCAGCGTATAAGTACACCGTTTTTCACTGAAAGATGGAAGGCTTCACCTCCTCCCACCTACCCTTCCCATACATCTTCTGTCCCACTGCTCCATTTTGATTTGCTTGGCAAGAACGCAAGAAAGGAGCTGCTTATATTTCCCTTACAACTTCATCAAAACTGCTTGCCAAGGTCACAGTGCCCTCTGTGATTTTAAAGTTAATTGTAAATCCTCAATCTTCTACTTACTTGACCCATCAGTAGCTTCTGAGATTGCTACTGACCCCTTCATGCTCAATGGTTAGGCTTTTTTTTTCTTAAAAAAATGTATTTTGCTGTAAACAAACAACTTTCTCCTGGTCTTCCTCCTTTCAGATTTTCTGTCTCCTCTCTCTTTTCTCTGCTGCTACTTCACTGGAATGCATGGACCTCAGTCATCAGATTATTTGTGCTACACTGTGAGTTCGAAACTAGTCTGTGCTACATGATTCTCTTAAATTCAAAACAAAACAAAACATAGCAAGCTGAATCCTGTAGTATTCAGACTTTAAGTATGGTCCCTTGATGGAAAACTTTTAATATTTAGTTTAATTCTGGCATGAACTCTATGCCGTGTATGTGGTGAGTTGGATACATTTCCCCATTTGATAACTCCACTTGTATACATCATAGATGTTTTTAACTTAATGTGACCTAACCTGTGTCCTTCTTCTTACCTACTACTCAGGCAGCCTTGGCAGAGGTTTCTAGTACCAAATGCTAATCATCCCTCTCCATAGTTGCACAGATGGCAAGATCTTGGGTCTGAAGTGTCTACTTCTCTCCACCTGTTCAACTAGCACTTACCAAATGATTTTGACTTTGTTTCTTCAGTTTTGGAACAAACTATTTGTTTGACCATCGTGTGATCCAAACCACCACTATCCTTATCTGAATGATTGTAAAAGCCTCCTAACACATCCTCCTTCTGTACTCACTCTCCCCCTGTGTGTCTGGAAGATAGCATGCCTTTAGCCCCATTCAGATCATTTACTCCTCTCCCCTGAAGCTGTTTCACTCAGGCTAGTCTCATTCAGGTTCGGGCAGCCTCTGTTGCTCTTTTCCCTGTCCACCAGAGAGCCCACAGTTGCCTCCCTCCCCCATCCTTCACAAGCCAGCTCTTCCTCAACATCATATCCTCCTCATCCCTTGAGAAGGCATCACTCATCTGCGCTTGTTATTCCTGCTTTCTGAAATACTTCTCTCTCCAGATATTCCTGTGACCTACTTCCTCATCTCCTTCAGGCATTGTTCAACTATCCGTGCCCATGATCACGCTGTTTCAAATTTACTGAAAGTGTCTTGTGTCTCTGTGCTCTATCCCCAATCCCCAGGCACCACCTCCAGTCCCCATGCAGTTTCTCCTAAACAATATACATAAACTAATAGTCAATGTTTTTGGGACTTATTTATTTGTCTGTTTACTCATTCTGTCTTCTGTTTCCATTGGAGTGAAAACTCCTGGGAAACATGCAAAAAATTCTGTGTTCAAAGAGTGCCTGATATGTATATATGTATGTATATATACATTTATATACATATACATATTTTTGATAAATCTATGGAAATCACTTTTCACAGATAGGGAGAGACATTGCAAAGCATACGCCTGACTCACATCAGGCATCAATAATCTGTGCTACTGGGGTGCTAAATGGGCAACCTCATTTCTATGCATCATGTTTAGCCCCTTCTCTCCCAAGCCACCACGTGGTTTGCCAAATATTTTTACCCATTTATGCTTGCCAAATAGTGGTCCAGGATTTGCAGCATAAATGACTCAATATACCTAGCACTCTTGCCAATGGTAAAATTTCTAGTGGTTTTCAAAGGGAGAAGAATTTTTTTCCAATACAACTTCATAATTCAGATGCAGATACTTAATAGATAGCTAAACATTAGTCAGCTAACAAAATTGCCTTTCCAGGTAGTGGGAATAGCATGTGTAGTACTGTGGGAGTATGCAATTGCCTCTTTGGTTCTCTGTCACTGGGGAATAAGTTTTACAATGGTAAGACTGGGGCAAAACATAGAGGCAATATGGTAGAGGGCTGTAGGACCATGATAAGTGCCTAAAGAAGGCATCTGTTTGGTTGAGATTAGTTTTTAATTTCTCCTCTCTGTGTACTGTGAAGAGGGAGATCAAGGACTCAACCAGGACCCTGATCCAGTTAAGCAACGAAGACTAGACTAGGGATGCTGTGGGATGTGTACAAGTGAGAAACATTGGGAGGCAAAGTGATGATGGACAGTAAGTACAACTAGATACTGGCAGTGGCTACCAGTGTCTTAGGATCAGAAAATAGGGATGCTATTGCTGTGCTAGGATAGGGTGCTATGCGCAGGCGTCTGATGGGAATGACCTCAGGTCACTGTTTTAAACACTGACTCTGCAATGCCTTGGGGAAACCCAAGCCGTAAAAATATGTCTGCAACTGTAAAGGGCAGCAAATAGGATACCCCTGAACCACACTAGGAATAGGAAGCTGTGTGTTCAGATTCGCCAAAGCAACCAAGAACCAAAGCTGGAGGGATAGAAGACAACTAAGGGGATTTAATGCGGATGAGGAAAGGAGGTGACAAATAAAGACTAGGTCTTCATAAACAATAAAAAGGGACAGTATGCATTCTGGAAATGCCAGTTTCAAAGGAATTGTGTTGGATTCGTTGTAAAATGGATAGGAGACAGAAGATTACAATCCTCAGAAACATGGGATATGAGAGTACAGCAAGGGAGCCATGTTGACATAGTGATGCGAGGAGAGCTCTATTTTCTCTTCCAAGTAAGATGAGAGGATATGGTGTGGCGCGCTGGGATTATCTGCTGGCTGTTCCCAGTGGCCTGGAGTCAGTCAGATTGCCTGGTTTTTCTATTCTCACTAAATAGTGTCCACTTCTTGGTCAATGTTGGGTCATTGTTACGTGTTACTGTAGGCCTTGGAGGACTGTAGGCTAAGAAAGAGTAGAAGAAGACAGGTTGGCCCGTGGGAATGTGGCAACCTTTTAAAGCAAGGGCCAGCCACTCTGGTGAGGGGCACAGATGTGTTCGCTATGTGCTTTTGTATGGCCTTTAGACAAAATGAAATGGTTTTAAAAACAAAACACATGAAATTTTAATGAAATTCAAATTCTAATGTGTGTACATGAAAGCTTACTACAAGTGGGTTGCATCAATTCATTTACATAACTTACATATTTGGTTGGATACAGCTGCTTTGGCATTACCACAGAATTAGATGGTCAGGACAACTGCCATGTGCCTTGTAAAGGCCTGAACTATCCACTCTCTGGTTTACTACGGAAAGACCTGGGTGACCTGTGACTTATAATACAACCTCTGCAAAGGAAGAGGAAGGGGAGTCCCAGAAAATGGGCAAAGGTGGTATCGGGTGTGCACGGGAAGCTCAGCCTTGAATCACAAAGGATTTTTCAACCTAGGAAGCCAGAGGAAAGGCTGATAAGATTGTACAAACACAGGCAGGTTTGTAAATCCTGGAGGAGAAAAGGGAAGGAAAATCCCTCCCCCACCGCACACCCAAGTTAAGGTGTTGAACTGTCATCGATCATGTCATTCTACAGGACAAAAACTGTTCAATTCATCTCTGCCTTCCCATAGCCTTCAGCACATGGACTTTCTTTCAGCCACTCTCACTAAATATTTAATTGAATCCCAGGTGAAACTCTATTATAAGCACATTCCTAGAAACCCCTGCCCTTAGGGCCTTGCATTTAATTCTCTTACTATCTAGGTCTACATTTATTAAAGTTTGATGTTATGTTTAGAGGTATGAAGAAAACGGAAGCTGACTTCTTATTTAATTAATTTTCGGTTCACTAAATGGAACCACTATAATCAGAGAAAGTTAATATTCTTATATAAGTTGGCCATTTTT